GGCTTGCTACATGATTTAGATGTGCTGCACATCTAGATCATGTGAAGCGTCTCATCATCCTACGCGTCTAATCAACTATGGTATTTAACATAAGAACTACGTCGTAAACACTAAGATGAGCAGGCGGTTCGGATTGAACTGGTCAAGATTAGCATGACTGGTAGAAAACCGATGACCGTCAACACGCCCTCTCAATCCGAATGCGAACAGATGCCTAGCGGCGGTTTTAAGTCCTTGTGGCGTGGTCAGTGAGTCCCTTGGTCATACTGTCTGCCAACCTCACCGTCGTCTCGCAGTATTCAAGCTTCACTTCACCGCGCTTGACTTCATCGCGAATGTGATGGTACTTGATATCAATGTGTTTGGCGCGGCCGTGGTTGACCGGATTCTTGGTCGTTTTGATGCAGGACTGGTTGTCTTCGCGGATCATGAGCTCGGGTCCGTCCTCGTTAGCAGCTGCCATGATCTCGCATAGTAAGCGGTGGATCCACTTACCTTCTTGAACCGCCAGACTTAGCGCAATGTACTCCGCTTCACTTGTAGACAGTGACACACTTGGATGCTTCTTGCTGCCCCAACTCACTGGAGCACCCAATAGCATAAAAACGTAGCTAGACGTTGACTAGCGATCAGTAAGGTCGCCGGCCCAGTCTGCGTCCGAAGAACCACGAAAGTCGATCCTTGCACGTGGCTTGCAGCAAATTCCATGCATCTTAGTGCCTTGTAGGTAGCGAAAGATGCGCTTGACCGCAACCCAGTGTTCTTCTTGGAGATTCTTCATGAAGCGCGACACAAAGCTCACAGCATAGGCGATTTCCGGTCGTGTTGCAGTCGTCAGATGCATCAAAGCACGAACAGCTTCGAAGAATGGAACATCGATCTTGCTCGTAGCGTTGCTTGACATCAGTCGAGAGCTGACATCCACAGGACTCGCCACAGCCTTGCACTCCTCCATTCCAAAGCGCTTGAGGATATCATCTTCATACATAACGGCGCTGACACATATTCACACTGCCATCTTCACCGTCCAAAAGCTCGATCCCAAGAACAAATGCACATTTGCCGCTGTCTGTCATCTCGAAACGTGTCTTCAGGTCGTTCTTGGTTCGTGTAATTAGCTCGAGCGAGCTTCCAGTCACCAAGACGTCGTCCACGTAGACCAGTACAAATACACAATGGCCGACCGAAGTCTTGATCTCGAGACATGGGTCGAAGTCCGATACTTGAATTCCAATGGAGCACACAAACTCGTCGAACGTCTCGTTCCACACTCGCGACGCTTGCTTGGGGCCACAATTGACTTAATCAATTCCAGGCAATCGAACGTACTATCAAGTTCAAAGCCTTCAGGAATCGCGCAGAACACTTGTTCCTTCATGACGCCATACAGGAAAGCCGTCATCACATCAAGCTGGTCGATGGGCCATCCAAAGTTATTGGAAATTGCGATCTCCATTCGCAGCGTCACATACTTGACCACGGATGAAAATGTCTCCGTGTAGTCGATGCCATATTTTTGGCGGAAACCCTTGGCCACAAGCCGTGCCTAGCACTTCTCGATCTACCCATCCGCCTTGCGCTTGATCTTAAACACTAACTTTGTGCCAATGGCGCGTTGTCCGTTGGGCAGCTTGGCTGCACGAAACACACCGCGAAGGCGCATCGACTCGAGTTCCGCATAAATGGCATTTGCCAGTGCACTTGGTCAGGGCCGCTCACTGCAGCCTCAAGTGTGTAGGGCTCTGATAAGTCTGCTGCTGTTTCAACGACATTCGCACTCGCATGCCAAAACACAGGCGGAGTTGATTCATCAGAATCCTTCCTTTCTTCGTCTTCTTCTTGGCGTGACGAGTTGTTTTCTAGCGCGGTTGACTCTTCTAGTCCAGGTCGTTGACGCACTGCACGTGGCCGTGGAGCTGCTGTATCTTCATCACTGAGGCGGTTTTTGCGCTTGCCTGTTTGCTTGTACTCCACCTGACGCGGCTCTTCATCATTGAGGTCAAGCAATTCGAAGTCCAGGTCATCGGCATCTTCATCAGTGATCGGCGGCGGAAGTCCAAAGGTGGACTCGTCGAAGTTGACATCGCGACTGATAACCACCTGTCCCGCCTCAATGTCATAAACTCGATACGCCTTCGACACTTCTTCGTAGCCCACGAATATGCCAGTGCGAGCCTTTGGATCCCACTTAAGCCGATTCTCCTTTGGCGTCAGTATGTACGTCTGGCGCCCGAATGCTTGCATGTGCTTGACGCTTGGCGTCGAGTTGTAGACGATCTCAAACGTATTCTTGAGTACGACTTTAGGTGACGGCAGTCGATTCTTGACGTAGATGGCCGTCATCGCTGCTTCAGCCCAGAAACAATTGTCTAGTTTGGCATGATGAAGCATGCTGCGGCCGATCGTAAGGATAGTCCTAATGGCACGCTCTGCTGTTCCGTTGGTTTGATGCGCATATGTCACCGTTGTTTGCTGTTCAATGCCTTCATCTTTGTAGAACATTTGAAGCGAGTTGGTTGCGAGCTCGCAAGCTCCGTCGTGTCGCACAAACTTGACCTTCTTACTGAACTGCGTCTGAACCACAGTGATGTACTTCCGGACGTAGTCTTCACTCTAGGACTTCACTCGTAAACAAAAGCCCTTCGTGCATCCACTCCACTGGATTCGTCTACGATCAGTAGCAGATATCTTCTACCACCGAGCGAATCGTTTTCCATGGGCCCACAGATGTCCAGATGAAGCAGCTCACACTTATCATAGCTGCGCTTGTCGCGGTTGCTTGGGAATGGTTTTTGGACTTTTTCACCTTGTTGACACCTGCGGCATGCACTTGCTCCACCCAACTTGAGAGGGACTCGCACATCCTTGATCATGTTGGTCGTGATCATCTTGCGCAGTACGTCGACTGGAGCGGGGTGACCCATTCGCGCATGTAGACCATCACAATGTTTTCACTTGTGTCACGCTTGTTGATCGCTAAGTCGAAGCCAGTAAAGTCCATCCACTAGATCCGCTGAGACGAAGCCAGTAAAGTCCATCCACGAGATCCGCTGTCGCCAACACTTGCTGTGAGTTCTTGAGAGTCACATACATCTTGGACCCGTCAAACACGACTTGGAGATGTCATGCCTGTTAGTCTGTGGCACCGAAAGCAGGTTCTTGCTCAGACTTGGAACATATAACGCGTTCTTGATCTCGATCTCGCGCTCTTCGCCGTTGGTCAGAACCACATTTTCTATGATGGTTCCAACATCCTTGATGGCCACCTTGTTGCCATCAGCCACCAATAGTTCGCCCTCGTTGCGCTCTACCAAACTTGCAGACTTGGTCTTTTTGTGGCAAACGTGGTTCGTTGCACGACTGTCGACGGCCCACATTCCAGACACGTCCTTGCTCGTCGAAACTCCACATCCGAGCGAGACTGCAAACGCCACTCGATCGTAGCCATTGCCTTCGTCATTATGTTCCACTGGGCATCGTTCGCTTCGCGTCCACAGGCATTGCCGCCGCGTTGGGCTCCTCAACCTTCACTATTTTGCTTCGCCCAACAATACTCTGCTGTGTGTCCCACCTTGTCACAATACGTGCATTGGTAGCGCTAACGCTCGGCGCTGAATGCCTTGCTTGCATCTTCAGCCTACACCGTAGTCGCTGTTGCTGTCCTTTTTTCTCCTTGACTCTTGGCGTGCTCATTCGTCAGCACTCTCACCACATCTTGGTTACGAAGCTCGGCGCTGCTCATTTCCATGTTGAGCACCACATTTTCGTAGCTCTTTGGAAGGCTAAGCAGCAGACAGATTGCAACGTCTTCTTCTTCCATCTTCGCACCGATGCCGATAAGCTTAGCGGAGACGTTGAGGACCTCGTTGCAGTGGTGCATGACGTTCGCGCCTTCATCCATCTTGGTGCTGAAAAGTTGTCGCTTGAGAAAGGTGCGTCCTGCCTTCTGCGATCCACCGTACAGCGTCTTCAGACGTGTCCACGCAGCCCACGCTTCCTCGTAGCTGTCAAGCACGTGGTGGTAGTCCGCATTTATGTGTAGTAGCAGCACCATACCAAACGCGACGTTGCTCGTCTTAATGTAGTCATCGGACGCTCACGGGTCGGTGAAAGTCGGAGTCGCTTCACGGTTTACGACGCACCATACGGACTTCGTCAAAAAACACCGCGCATGTATCGACTCCAAGTCGCATGATTGTCTCCATTGAACTTATCAATGGAGACGTTGGATGATGCGTTGGTGGTGGACGACATGGCGCTTGGGCTCATAATCTGTTGCATGGAAGAGAGCGGAGCGAAGGGAGCAGAGAGGCTGAAGAGAGTAGAGCAGAAGCCACTTCCTCACTAGTTGGAAGATTCGAAAGCGATTGATTATCGGGGCTTGCTACATGATTTAGATGTGCTGCACATCTAGATCATGTGAAGCGTCTCATCATCCTACGCGTCTAATCAACTATGGTATTTAACATAAGAACTACGTCGTAAACACTAAGATGAGCAGGCGGTTCGGATTGAACTGGTCACGATTAGCATGACTGGTAGAAAACCGATGACCGTCAACACGCCCTCTCAATCCGAATGCGAACAGATGCCTAGCGGCGGTTTTAAGTCCTTGTGGCGTGGTCAGTGAGTCCCTTGGTCATACTGTCTGCCAACCTCACCGTCGTCTCGCAGTATTCAAGCTTCACTTCACCGCGCTTGACTTCATCGCGAATGTGATGGTACTTGATATCAATGTGTTTGGCGCGGCCGTGGTTGACCGGATTCTTGGTCGTTTTGATGCAGGACTGGTTGTCTTCGCGGATCATGAGCTCGGGTCCGTCCTCGTTAGCAGCTGCCATGATCTCGCATAGTAAGCGGTGGATCCACTTACCTTCTTGAACCGCCAGACTTAGCGCAATGTACTCCGCTTCACTTGTAGACAGTGACACACTTGGATTCTTCTTGCTGCCCCAACTCACTGGAGCACCCAATAGCATAAAAACGTAGCTAGACGTTGACTAGCGATCAGTAAGGTCGCCGGCCCAGTCTGCGTCCGAAGAACCACGAAAGTCGATCCTTCCACGTGGCTTGCAGCAAATTCCATGCATCTTAGTGCCTTGTAGGTAGCGAAAGATGCGCTTGACCGCAACCCAGTGTTCTTCTTGGAGATTCTTCATGAAGCGCGACACAAAGCTCACAGCATAGGCGATGTCCGGTCGTGTTGCAGTAGTCAGATGCATCAAAGCACGAACAGCTTCGAAGAATGGAACATCGATCTTGCTCGTAGCGTTGCTTGACATCAGTCGAGAGCTGACATCCACAGGACTCGCCACAGCCTTGCACTCCTCCATTCCAAAGCGCTTGAGGATATCATCTTCATACATAACGGCGCTGACACATATTCACACTGCCATCTTCACCGTCCAAAAGCTCGATCCCAAGAACAAATGCACATTTGCCGCTGTCTGTCATCTCGAAACGTGTCTTCAGGCCGTTCTTGGTTCGTGTAATTGGCTCGAGCGATGTTGAGGGGTGAAAAGCTTGACGACCGAAACTGGGAGTGATGCTGGGAGTCCACTCGGAAGACCGGAGAAGACACTTGGGGGGTAGATGGAAGATTGGAAAGTGATTGATTATCGGGGCTTACTACTTACTACATGATTTATATGTGGTGCACATATAAATCATGTGAAGCGTCTCATCATCCTACGCGTCTAATCAACTATGGTAATTACCGTAAGAACTACGTCCTAAATACTAAGCTGAACAGGCGGTTCGGATTGGACCGGTCACGGTTACCAATACTGGTAGAAACCGATGACCGTCAAAACGCCCTCTCAATCCGAACTCGCACGAATGCCGAGAGCCGTCGTCAAGTCCTTGTGGCGAGGTCCCGAAAGTCCCTTGGTCATGATGTCCGCCATCATCACGGAAGTCTCGCAATACTCGAGCTGCACTTCACCGCGCTTGATCTCATCACGGATGTGATGGTACTTGATGTCGATGTGCTTGTCGCGGCCATGATTCGCCGGATTCTTCGTCATCTTGATGCACGACTGGTTGTCTTCACGGATGACGAGGTCCGGTCCTGGTTCGTTTGCGGCCGCCAAAATCTCGCATAGCAGGCGATGCACCCACTTGCCTTCCTGGATGGCCAGACTCAGTGCGATGTATTCCGCTTCACTCGTCGACAGCGACACACTTGACGGCTTCTTGCTTCCCCAACTCACAGGAGCACCCATTAGCATGAAAGTGTAACCCGAAGTCGACTTGCGATCAGCGTGGTCGCCGGCCCAGTCCGCGTCCGAGTAGCCACGAAAGTCGATCTTTTCGCTTGGCTGGAAGCGGAGTCCGTGCGACTTGGTCCCTTGCAAGTAACGAAAGATGCGCTTCACCGCCGTCCAATGTTCTTGCTGCGGATTCTCCATGAAGCGCGAGACGTACCCCACAGCATACGCAATGTCCGGGCGCGTCGCAGTCGTCAAGTGCATCAAAGCTCCCACAGCTTCACGAAACGGAACGTCGATCTTGGCCGCTTCGGTGCTTGCGACAAGCCGAGTGCTCAAGTCGACCGGACTTGCTGTGGCCTTGCACTAATCCATGCCAAAGCGCTTGAGGATGTCGTTGACATGCCGTCGCTGGCACATCGTCACGCTTATTGTGGGTTGACGGTTGAGGTACTGCTATCAGCTACCATGGGAACCGTAAACCTGTCCAAGTCGATCCCGCGTAATTACGGTGAGTTTTTACCAATGATTAGACGCATAGGATGATTGGATGACCTACATGATTTATGATTCATGATTTATATGTGGACAACATATAAATCAGTGCAGAGATAAATCAGGTAGCTTGAACAAAACCCACAAATAAATTCACTTCCAAATATTCCTTCTTCAGCACAAGTCGTCTACACTTCGCAGTGCAGACTTCTTCAGCGTTCTTCAAGCTTCGTTCTCTCGTCCAGTGCTCTTCAGACTTTAACAACGCTGCCATCCGATTCGTCCACCAGTTTGATGCCCAGTACAAAAGTACAATTGCCACTGTCGGTCATCTCGAAACGCGTCTTGAGGTCGGCCTTCGTCTGCGCAATCAACTCGAGCGAGCTGCCGGTGACCAACACGTCATCCACGTAGACCAGCACGAGCACACAGTGACCGTCGACAACCTCGATGTAGAGACATGGGTCGAACGCCGACACTTCGAAACCGATAGAGCATACGAACTCGTCGAAAGTCTCGTTCCACACACGTGAAGCTTGCTTGAGACCGTAGATCACCTTCACCAACTCGAGACAGTCGAAGTCGCCATCCATCTCGACGCCTTCTGGTATCACACAGTACACCTTCTCCTTCATCACTCCGTAGAGAAAGGCTGTCACCACATCGAGTTGGTCCAGTGGCCAGTCGAAATACTTGGTGATCGCGATCACCATACGCAGTGTCACGTACTTGACCACGGGCGAGAACGTCTCTGTGTAGTCGATGCCGTACTTCTGCTTGAAGCCCTTGGCAACGAGACGCGCCTTGTATTTCTCGACCGATCCATCCGCTTTGCGCTTGATCTTGAACACCCACTTGGTGCCGATCGCGCCTTGGCCTCTTGGTAGTTTTGCCGCACGGAAAACTCCACGAAGATGCATCGACTTGAGTTCCGCCTTCACAGCATTTTGCCAGTGAGCTTGATCAGGACCATTGATCGCGTCTTGAAAAGTCACAGGTTCTGCTAGGTCCGTTGCTTCCACTGCGTTTGCACTTGCACGCCAAAATGTTGAAGGCGTCGAGTCGTCATCTTGATCGTAGACGCTTGCATCTTCTTCGTCATCAGACATCGTTTCTGGAGCACTTGATCGTCGTTTCTGGTGACGGTTGGAGACGTGTGCCGGCGCACTTGCTCGTTCCAACCCAGTTCGAGGGCGAGCTGAACGTGACATGCCGGGTCTTGCTTCACTCTTGCGCTTGCCAGTCTTCTTGTAGACGGTTTGACGCACGTCGTCCTCGTTGATTGCCAGGAGGTCGAGGTCCAACTCCGCATCTTCATCATCGTCACTTGGTCGGTCCAATGAAAAATCAAAAGTCGATTCGTCGAAGGTGATATCACGACTGATCACCACTTGGTCCGCCTCAATGTCGTACACTCGATAAGCTTTTGACGCTTCTTCGTAGCCCATGAACATCCCTTCACGAGCCTTCGGGTCCCACTTCAATCGCTTCTCCCTTGGTGTCAGGATAAACGCCCGACATCCAAACACGCGCATGTGCTTGACACTTGGTTTTGACTTGTACACGATTTCGAACGGAGTCTTGTGGTCGATCTTGGGTGAAAGCAGGCGGTTCTTGATGTAGATCGCCGTCATTGCCGCTTCAGCCCAGAAACACTTCTCCAGTTTTGCATGATGCAACAAGCTGCGTCCGATCGTGACGATGGTCCTTATCGCGCGTTCTGCGGTGCCGTTGGTCTGGTGTGCATACGGCACCGTGACCTGTTGTTCGATACCATGATCTTCGTAGAAGGTCTTGATGGAGTTGGTCGCAAACTCATGCGCTCCATCGTGCCGAACAAACTTGATCTTTGTGCCGAACTGAGTTTGAATCTTGATAATGTGGTTCTTGATACAGTCTTCACTCTCAGACTTGGACCGCAGACAGAAGCCCTTCATGCAACCGCTGGCTTCGTCAACCACAAGCAGCAAGTATCTGCTGCCGCCGATCGAGACTTGTTCCATTGGCCCGCAGATGTAGAAGTGTAGCAATTCAAACACACCATATTGGCGTTTGTCACGGTTGGTTGGGAATGGTTTTTGGACCATCTTTCCTTGCTGGCAACCGCGACACACACTTGGACCAGTCGAGTTGAGAGGTGCCTTGGCGTCCTTGATCATGCCAGTGGCCACCATCTTGCGCAGAACTTCGAGGGGTGCATGACCCATGCGCGCATGCAAGTCGATGGTCCCATTGCGTGTTGCTGCATTTGCCGATCGTTGAGGAGTCCGCAGCCAGTAAAGTCCATCGACGAGATCCGCTGTTGCCACGACTTGTGTGGAATTCTTGCGCTTCACTTGCATCTTGGATCCATCGAACACGACTTGGAACCTGCCACCCTTGTTGATCTGTGGCACCGAAAGCAGATTCTTGCTCATACTTGGTACGAACAGTGCGTCCTTGATCTCGATGTCGCGTTCGTCACCATTGGGCAGAACCACCCGTTCCATGATGGTTCCCACACCCTTGATCGCAGCCTTGCTGCCATCAGCCACTGATAGTTCGCCTTCCTCTCGCTCATTCAGGCTTGCAAACTTGGCTTTGTCGTTGCAGATGTGATGCGTCGCACCGCTGTCGACTGCCCACATCCCTGGCATATTCTTGCCCATCGAAAGTCCAGCCTCCAGCGAAACCGCGAACGCAACTCGATCGTAGTTGTCGTCGTTGTTGTTGTCGGTTCGCCACTGAACGTTGTTGGCTCCGCGTCCACGAGCATTGTTGCCGCCGCGTCGAGCTCCACCTTGATTTTCGTCCTTCTGCTTGGTCCAGCACCGCTCAGCCGTGTGCCCCAATTTTACGCAGTATGTACACTGGCGAGGCTCACGCTCGGTACTGAACGCCTTCGCCGCGTCTTCGGTCTTCACCGATGTCGTCTTGTCACCTTGCCTCTTGATGTGCTAATTCGTGAGCACTCTCACGACGTCTCGCGATCGCAGTTCCACGCTGCTCATCTCCAAGTTGAGAACGACGTTCTCGTAGCTCTTGGGGAGGCTGCGCAACAAGCAGATCGCCACGTCCTCGTCCTCCATCTTGGCGCCGATGCTGCTGAGCTTCGCGCTGATGTTGAGGACTTCGTTGCAATGATGCACCACATTGCCGCCTTCCGCCATCTCCATGCTGAACAGCTGGCGCTTCAAGTAGATGCGTCCAGCCTTCTGCGACCCGCCGTATAGCGTCTTCAAACGCGCCCACGCGACCCACGCCTCTTCACAGTCATCAACCACGTGATGATAGTCCGCGCTCATGTGCAGCAGCATCAAGCCGAACGCAATGTTGTTCGTCTTGACGTAGTCGTCACTGGCGCGAGGATCGGTGAAGGTGGGGGTGGTCTCCCGGTTTACCACGTGCCACGCCGACTTGGTCAGGAACACGCCACGCATGTAGCGGCTCCACGTCGCGTAGTTGTCGCCGTCGAACTTGTCAATGGAGATCTTGGTGGTGGCATCATGAGCAGAGGACATCGTGCTTGGGCTCATAACCTGTTGAAAGGTGTGAAGCTTGACGACCGAAACTGGGAGTGATGCTGGGAGTCCACTCGGAAGACCGGAGAAGACACTTGGGGGGTAGATGGAAGATTGGAAAGTGATTGATTATCGGGGCTTACTACTTACTACATGATTTAT